TTATCTTAATCTGAAATGTAATAGCATGCGCAGTTCACTAAGCCCTATGAAGCAACTTTCATAACAGTATGCTTCTGGTTATAAATCATGACACTTTTTCTGACTGTAAGGAGTCTTAGTTGAATTTTGGTCTCTGGAACTTGTACCCGCCCCTTCAAATTTTGTTGCAAAGTGTTTAATGTTGTTATTATATGTAGAGATGAACTTGGTCGTTTTGTTGCTGACAAACGGTGTCTCACAAGCCTTAAGATGGAAGGATGCTCTAATTTAGGAGGCTTTGTCGTCTATTCAACAAGTCTTTCTACACTCTGGCTTTCAGATCTTCATTCTCTATCCAAGATGGTAAATGTTTGATCCAGTCATTTGTCTTTGGTTTTGATTTTCAGACAAAATTATCTGAATTTCCCTTTTTATGTACTTCCCTTCATAGGTTTTTAACTGTCCCAATTTGAGAGAGATATCACTAGAATTTTCCCGTCAGGAAAATGATAATACAGACCTTATCACCGCAATTGATGGTTTGGGAAGGAGTTGCCCAAGGTTGCAAAATATACACATTGCATCACTTAGGCTGTCTCATGCAGCTGTGCTAGCTCTTACGGCAGCAAACTTGAGGTTTGTCAAATCTTTGCTAATCCAGTTGTCTTTAGTCATGTCCGGCTTTTATAAAGGCTGCAAAGAAATACTTATTTGCTTTTTAAAAGTAGTCTAGCATTTCTTGATTTGCTTTGTTAAGTTTACTTATCTTTTTCCTGTTGCACTTTTAGTAGGGACTTGTACTATTTCAGCAATGGATGCTCTTTTCATTATGTGTTTAATAACTGTTCCTCTAAAACTTAGGGCCTTGCGAATGCTTTCACTTGTTCTTGGATCAGAAATAACTGATGCATCTGTTGCTGCTATCGTGTCAAGCTATTCAAAGTTGGAATTACTTGACCTGAGTGGGTATGTTTTTTTGCCCAATTTTGAATGCTTTTCCTTTGCTGCATGTTCTAGGTGATTGCATCTTGTTTGTTAATCTTTAGGATCAAATCCCTGACAATGCAGCTTCATTTCAGGTCTAGCATCACTGATAGTGGAATTCATATGATATGCAATGTGTTCCCTAACACCCTATCAAGACTACTCCTTGCTCTCTGCCCCAATATCACTTCAAGTAATTGTCCCATTTAAAGTTTGAATATCATTGTTGGAATTTTCTTGTAAGTTTTTCGTTTCCTAATTATCCATAACCTTGTGTGTCTGTATTTTTCAGATGGGATTCAGTTTGCCACCACACAACTGCCTCTTCTTGAATTAATGGACTGTGGGATGACCTTATGCGATCCCAATTCCCAGAATTTAATCACCGATGAAGACAGCTACTGCGAACTGCAGAATACATTCAACAATAAACTACACCTTATGTACCAGAAGCTCATTATCAAACATGGCCGACTAAAAAAACTAAGCTTGTGGGGTTGTTCTGGCTTAGATGTGAGATTTTTTTAATCCAAAATTTCATTATATTAGTGGGGGCTTTTCCTTTAGATCTTTATGTGGTTCTTACTTTCCCATCTGAATTTAATATCCAGGGTCTATATTTGCACTGCCCAGAACTCAGTGACCTGAATTTGAACTCTTGCAAAAACCTAAATCCTGGTATGTTATTTTGATTCCCCTGATCTGTTTGAGCACCGGTATCAATTACCTATTATCACTTGGTATGATTTATTCATTAACTGTTGTTTCCATCCTCAGATAGATTACTCCTTCAGTGCCCTCGTTTGGAGAGTGTGCATGCATCCGGATGCCAAGGGTTGTTGTTAGGGACCATTAAAAGCCAGGTAATTGGAAAATACTGAGTTCTTATCGAGCTACTCAGACTTTAATTTCTCATCTATCAGTGGTTTGTTATAAATGGAACTGTTCTAGTGCTCTATAACCATGTCTGTAGTTGTTATCGGAAGTTTAACCTTTGAATATGTTGGCAGGTCTTTAATAACTCTGCTGCTGCAGAAAACAATCTTCCATGTAAGCGATTAGCTGATGGCTCCAAAAGGATCCGTGTTTCATATTTTGTTAGCCAACAGGTATATTCAAAATCTGTTTTTTAACTGTAAGAATTTTTGGGAAGAATGGAATTTCAGATGACAAGTGGACTATAGTGGCATCTATCTACGTGAAGCTTTCTCACATGGCTGCATAACATTGACACTAATCCATTGGTTTGCAAGTAATGACAACCCTAATGACTAATGTTGATAATGACCAACGTAACATTTAAATAATCTTCGTAATTAGATAAAAGTAACATCTCCTGAGACAAGTTTGAAGGTTACTTTTGGCTTGTATAGTCCTATTTGATTGGTAAATAGGATTAAGTATCCAACGTTCTGTGGTAATGTGGAAATCATGGGAATTAAGGAATGATGGTTGAATAAACAACATTGTTGTGAAAAAAGAGAATCTATGTATCTAATGTTATGGGGTTTATTTATTTATATTTATCTTTTTGGTTCTATGCAGTCTTGTGATGATGATGATAAGAAGCAGAGGAAGATGGCAAGCCGGCAATGTAATGTGATTGTGAACTGATCATCCCATATGCTTTCAACACACCATACCTGTTGTACACATCAGCATGGGGGCATTTTCCTCGTGGGATTATATAAGGAATAACTTGGAAATTATTTGTAGGAGGGAGGCTTGGGCAGCATAGCTGCCTCACAGAATTTGCCTTCAACATGTTAATTGAGTTATTAGTTGAACTTTTATTGTAACAGAAACTACTGGTCCCTGCATTGAAGTTTTCATCCATTCCAAAACTTTTCTTTTATGGTGCGCCATTCTAGAACTTTTGGTTAAAGGTATTTTATAACAGGAAACCTGCCCTACTTTGCTAGAAAGTGATCAATAGGCATGGTATTATCAAATTTCACTTGCATCTAATGTTCTGCCATTAAGGTTTCATGAGAATGTTTGGATTAAAAGCTTAACTATATATATATATATGGTTAATAGTAGAGGGGCTGTGGGAGTATGAATAATGACTGTTGGGACTAATTTTTGTCAAATTTAAAATGAATTTATGAAAATCGTTAATTATGATGCAATTTTTATGTGAGTTCATATAATTAATGGTTGGAAAAGTTTGTAAAAAAGAATCAATATTCTTTTAATATTTTGTTCCAAACATCTATTTCTTTAGTGAATCTCACTTGGAAAACTTATAAATAGGCACAACAATAAGATAATAAAATGCTCCACTAATTATATTTTACCCGTTACATTGTGATTTTGCATGTTGTAATTGAAAATTTCTTTTGATAAAATGAAATTATAGAACTATTTATAGGAATAAAATTATGTATAGTTATTCATATACTGATTTAATATAGGGTAAAAATATGAAGTCATATTATTATAAATATTAAATGTTATTATAAATTTAAAATTATAATTTTTTTAATGTTAAAATCATGACGTATAAGTCTCTTATAATAGATTATTTCTCTATAAAGATAAGTAAGATGAAGTAATCGACATACTTTAAATAATTAATATAATTTTTTATATAATTATTTATTATATTTTTATATTATATTTTTAAAAAAAATTATATTATATTATTTTTTAATTAATGAAAAATATTAATAATTAATTACAACAAAAAAAAATATAACATTAATAATTAAATATGCAACTGCATCACCACCACCGACGCAAAAACTATTAATTAAAAATATGAGCGCACCATGAAGGTGCAACCGGTAAAAATAGAACGGAGGGGAGACGGAGAGAGAGAGTAATCAACTACAACTACGGAAACGGAACGCCTCCAAATGGCGACACGTGTTCATCAAGCTCAAAGATCCACAGTAGAGTTAAGCAGCACGACGAGGGCAACTCCCCCAATTCAAGTCTGTAATTTCATTTCCTGCTTCCTTTCTACCTCCTTCTGGTTCGTCAATGGAGATTTCATTTCCAACAACTCCGGCGGCCGGCTATTTTCGTTCTTCGACAGGTTCCTTTTCTTCCTCTCCTTATAATTGTCCAATACTTCATCTGTTACTCGGATCAACGCCGAATATGGTGCTATGAAATTAAATTTTTACTGTCCTCTGATATTCCACCTGCTGCGATTTCCCTGATTTTCATTTGACCTTGACTCCTTTTCCTCTCCAAACTCATGAATTTTGAGTAGCAAAACTGTTGAATTCAATATTTTTAGGGTAACTGGATAGCTTCCACGATATCGAATCTTCAATCTCTTACTTCTTTAAGCAATTTTTGCTCTATATAATTCAAGTCTGATGTTCCTTTCACTATTTTATCCTTTTTCTTCTTCAGAAACATCACTGCTGCAGAGAATTAAGCTTCCTTCTTGGCATCGATATGGTGCATATATTTCATTGAGTCAAAGAACCAAACAACCGTTATTATCGACTAGAGCTGTTTCTCCTGTTCTGAGAGAGAGTCGCTTCAAGGTTGAATTTGATTCTTGTGCTAATTCTCAATCTCCTTAACCATTTAACTTCTTGTTGGTTTAATATTTTGTTGTTCATTTTTGTAGGTTTTATGTATTCAAAATAAACAAGTTCCAGTCTTGGAAGCCAGGTATGCTAGTTGTTGGGGGGGGAGGGGGGGGGGGGGAGAAAAGTATCTTGTATAGCATGTGTGGTGGATTATGGGTATTTGATGGTACAGTTTTCATAAAATCATTGACTAATATCCTTTCTTTTGTTTGGAAAATATGCTTTGTAATGTGTTGAAGTGTTCATGCCGTTGATATGGATTGCTCTCAAGTCAAAGCATTCTAAATTTTTCATGAGAAAGGAGTAGCCTACTATCCCTTTATCATTCACGTTAAATGAACTTTTGACAATTTTTTATTAAAA